GAAACATCTGACAAGCTTCGGGCCTATAGAACCCAGGGGAATCTCATTCGATGGGTACGAAGCTTACATTCCGTGGCCGAATGAAAATTCTTTCACTTTTGGTCGTGAACGCAAGTGGTGTTCCTGAGGGCTGTTGGTCCTGCTGCGTCTTTGCCAACCACCTCCCAAGATTGTATAACTCGACCGCTTGCTTTGTGTCTGTCTTAGGATCAAAGTGACGGTGACTATAGAAGAGGCGACTCATTCAGCGTTGAATATTTGTAACGCCTGCTCTTCTGGACATTTTCGCTAACAGATGACGGTAAAAGTTATCTTGGTCCAAGAGAAAGTCCCAAACGCCGAGGTGTATCATTGGGGGGCGGGGGGTGACGGACTGGTCGAATCGTTTACGGAGGCAATCGCTGGGTATTTCGACTGTTCTTCCATACGTTCTCTCACCTTCGTTTTTGAGTGCGGTTTAACTTACTCCCCTACCGCACCTCTGCAACCCAAATACGAGATCCAAGTGCAGTCGTTGATCCTTCGACGCTCCTATCCAGAGGCTATCAGCTACAAAATTGGGTGATCCTTCAGTTGCTGCAGCGTGTTACGCCAGTGTTTGTCTAGTATTCAGTTCACGATCTGAGGATTCCTTACTCGACTGGACACCTATAAAACCCGACTCTACTGTTCCGACCCTCCACCTCCATAAAAGACATACACTGCCTGTACTACTTAACGGCGTTCGTCGCACCCACCTATTCATCAGTTGTAGTCCTGCTTCATCGAATAACATATACAGTTGACCTGCCTCTTATCAACCAAGGAGTCACATATGGTCGTGTTATCATGAAGTTTCAATGTACTTCAGATGTGCAACTTGGCGGTATGTTTAGTCTCAGCGCCAAACACCTACTTTTACAAGGTTGCACCGGTCATTTCTTGTTCTGCAGCAGCACTAGGCTTAGTCTCAGCAATTGCCGTCGTGATATATGGCTTTCCTCTGCTACTGAGCAGCCTTGGAGTTAGGTTGACTATCGCTATCAGCTACCCCTTCCAGTCCTTTACTACCGATTACTTTGGAATACATAGGTCGATCCAGATCACTTCCTCATTATGTACAGATTTCCGTCAAATTTCTCCCACGTACCCAAGAAATGGTTCGGTTCCAAATTCAACAGGAGGAATGCTTTTAGGGCCACAAGCCATGGAATCATACCAAAGCCTACCATGCCGTGCAGACCGCAGCTGGAATGAGATAACGACAACCATACGGGATGGCTCAGTGGTTAGAGCGCGAAATTACTGACAAGAAGGTTCGTGGTTCCACCCGATCCTTGGTCCTTGACTTCTTCTGTCCAGGGTGGGTTAACCTGGCAGTATCTCACCCCTCGTGCTTTCTTCTGGTGGCATAGCAGTTAGGCATCGAAAGGGTGCTACATCTGAGCAGTTTTTTACGTGACACCGGAAATGTCGGTGGTACTTCCCAGTGGCCTCCATCTTTTCGGCGTTCTAATCACTTCGGCTAGGTGGTCGAGTAATAGACAGCTCAGAGAGTGTCTGTGTGGACAGCATGATAGAATTAGATATTTCAGGGGAAGAGAGAGGCCAATAAGTTTGGGACAACATGAAAACGGCTCAACTCAGTTCGCAAAACACAACTTAAGGCGCCTTCCACAAGCGATTTAGTCAAAGACAACACTGGAAACTTATAATGTGATAGATACCAGCTTCTAGACACACCCACGAAATGTTTTCGAAATTTTTGTTGGCTCTCTGTCCCTGTAGCTGTCTTTCATTCGACCAGAACATTTTTAGCTGTAGTCTGTGGGTATAGATCCTCATCAGTTTGTGGTGTACTAATTTGCCTTCGAGCCCGAAGCGCCATCGAGCTTTTGGCCCAGGCGAGCTTAACTCAGCCGTATTCAAAGCTGAAGGAGAACATTTGTTACCTATGCCGACTAGATTCACTCGTTTTGGAAAAATGGCGTGTTTCAGAGAATTAGGGCCGTGGTCGAAAAGTCATCTAGCTGATCGTTCCAACTACAGTTTTGTTAGGCTCACGCCCGTCGTAACACGGCTGCTGGCTTCTATTACATTGCGATGATTGTCCTAGGTATCGCGGACTCAAACCCAAGCGCATCAACTAGGTTCTTGGTTTGGTAGGGCGTGCTGTGACCAAATCATCACATTATTCCAAATGCTTGAGCAATACCATGCGTATGCCGACCAAAGCCGAGCTTGTTCGGCTCACTGGGTCTCCGACATTGTGGTAGGATGGCTCCTTCCATCGTTCTTGGCCATTAGGTGATGCGCTTAAAGTTTGCGAAAATCAATCGTGCTCTTTATTCCCGAACGTTCGGTAACATCGAGATTTCTGAACACCCCAAATTTCATGGAGAAAGCTAAACGTATTTCGATCAGAAGGCTTAAGCCTGCTCTTTCAGAGCCAGCAGCAAGCATCTGTATGAAGTTGCTTCTAAAGGTGGGCGTTCACAGTTCATTGTGATCCTCTGAAACAACAAAACCGGATACACCTCAGACATACCTTAGTGTTCAGGATGATAAAAACATAATTGACCAGCTGCAGCACACTTTCGGTGTCCAGCTGCTATGCCACCTGAAGAAAGCACGAGAGCTGGGACTGCCAGGTTGCCCAAGCCCATACAGGAGTCGAGATGCAGAAGTCGGGTTGGAACCACGGACCTTCCGGTCAGTAAATTAGCTCTATAACCAACGAGCCATCTCGTCCTTAGTGTTCAGGTTGACTATCCTAGATCTTCCTCACCGAGATGAAAAGGTCGGGATCTTGTTGAAGAAATGAGCTGAAGTGAGAGCCGAAAACTTTTGTAGTGCAACACTGCCCATCAAAGGGTGCGGCTACGACCAAAGGCCACTGGTGACAATGGTTCATGGAAATACCGACTATAGAACCGACGTAGAGGGCAGGAGATATGGATCAGGAGTTCGACCCATCTCCGTTAATAATCACTGATGCGAAGCTGGCCGACTGGTAACCGCGTGGTTGGTGTTAACATCATCCCTTCTTAAACGACTTTGTCGTAACGTTGCAAACTCGCGGAGCATCCGTGGTTTCGACAGAGATGTTGGAGCTCGCCGCAAATGGGATGCCAATGCTATTTCAAGATTCCGGGGTTTTAGTGGATGCATTCGACTCACCCCGACTGTTACTGTTTATTCAGCCTTGTTCGGATATCGCGATTCTACATAATCAGGTGTTTCAACTGGTCGCTGGTGAGCAGTTCACTCGGTTCTGAATGTTGAAGAGATTCATTCACAGGAGAAGATTTCAGCTGGTGACTGTCCTCTTGAGGTTTCCAACCACAACGTTACCACACAGAGTAACCAGGATAAACAATTTTTCACAGCGCTCGAGCCTGAGGTTGATAGAGCCTTGAACTATGCCGGCGTGCCCGCTTCTTTTACTTTCATTGGCTTACATCAATTTTTGTCTTTGCACATCTAAACATCTGGTGTATCTTTGCTTATGCGCATATCTGCCAACGCTCTCACTTGGCAGTCGAACAACGGCGAAGCTCCGGTGAGACCAATAACCTTTTTTCATTAAAGAGTTTGATCACATAAGACTTGATTTCAAAGTAATTCTAGTCACTATCGAGGTCACTACTTTCTGGCATCGTCCAAGCCTCGTTCTGCCTTACAACCAGTGTTTCGTAGGGGGGTTTTCTTCCAAGCAATAAGCGCGAGTGAATTGGCTTTCCTGCTGCATATTGTTATATCAGAAGCTTCCGGTGCTCACTGGAGGTTAAAAGTTTCTGGGCTGCCATGTACGTAGGATTTTCCTGTGGTCCTTCGAAGAATCATTTCAATCAAGAGACCCGGTTCTGTAACATCCCAGTGACCTGGTGAACGTGTTAAGCTTAGCTGCTGTCCTTCTCCATCGGCAGCATAGTTTCCGCAGTAACCTAGGCAGGAGTGGTTGAGGACCAGGGACCGGTCGAACCACGGACCTTCCGGTCAGTAAGTTCGTGCTCTAACCACTGAGTCATCTCGCCTCATCTTGAAACCCACTATCTTAGCAAGACTATCAGCGGTTCTGTCTAAAGATTGGAGGTAACATCTCACCACCTCGTTCCAGCTCCCGTTCACATTTCGAGCACAGAAACCCAACTAGCATTAGTTGTGTCTCCGCATCTCTCATCAACTAAGCCGCTGTTAGACCCGCCAAATCATCGACAGGACTTGACCCAGTGATTTGGCTTATCCCTTTTATTAATCAGGTACTGCACATTTCCTTTCGTAGTGATTATGCTTTCGGTGTTGGGCCTTTATTTTACTGCATTGGCCCCCTCAGGAGCGTCCTCCTTTTTCCAAAGCTTCCTTTCCCCATGAGACTTTCCTGAGTTAAACTGCTCCACGGCCCAGAACGGTCCGCGATCGTCCGGTGCTAAATCGGATCGCATAGTCCGAGCAGTGTTGTCCAACCTTTAAGTCCACTTTATTAACGCCGCTCCACTGGGTTATCGATTAGTACACACGGGTGCGGCCATGTATCAGTCTAGTTGTTTTCCCATGTGTACTGCTCTTGGGACGGTTTTCCCAACAACCTCGGGATCTTTAACCTAAGCGAGTGTCTCATCTTTCCTCGGAATAACTCTTCAGTTCAGGTCTCTGTTTGATACTGTCGAATGTAGGTCCGTGGATGACACTTCCCCCATTCAGTTGAACGTTATAGGTGGCCAGTCGTCAGCTATCTTCGACTGGCAAACCAGAATCCTATCGACATTTCCAATCATCTTGCCTTTGCTCGGTGACAAACTGGTGGTAGCCCACTAATATCGCCCTAGAAATTTAACCTTGCCCGCTGCTATTGAGTAGCCTGGGCCTATGTGCTTGCATTACTCTACCTCTTCCTCTCGCAGCTTACGGTGTTCCATATGGGTCCGGTCAGTCGCTCTCTACACTTAGCCCTTTATCGCCGGACACACTTTTGATGCGTGGCTAAAAGAGCACGTAAAGAGACACTGTGGAGTTCCCTGCTTTTTCTTTCGTTGCTTGAAGGTTTCTGCACACAGATCACAGGTGCTTCACACACTGCTTCTGCAATCAGTCTCAGGTTTACAAGGTACAGGGTAATATTTCTTTTGCTTCCACCCCAAACACACGCATTACATCTCTCAGTCAGTACTGATGTAGCACATTAGCAGCACACTTGTAGCAGGGCGTTTTTCGTAGGTTCACTGCCTTCCATTATCCCCACCTTTCAGCTTGTTAAAGCTACATCCAGTGTAATCTAAAGAACCAAACCACGATGAAAATTTAGACGAGCGCGCTAAGCAAGGTCTTTCGGGCGGGTCTGAGCGGAAAGCAAAGAAACTGACAGGCTCGGTGAAATCTGATTTTGGGTTTTGAATTTAACAATCTCTCAACTGAGGCCTGGATGAGAACCCTACCCTGGGCCGGATGAAAAACTCGCGCCAACTCCAAAATTCCCTCAGCACATTACCAGACCACGACCATGGTTTTCGAACACACCGGAGGAAGGACAGCCGTTGGCTGAATGGAATTCTACCTTACTTCAACCAATTTTCGAACGCAACATTGCTTAAAACCATAGGCCCTTTGTCTTCTGCGCCTGACCTCAGTTGCAGGTAAAATGGAAAGGTGCTTTTTAAACATAAATCGTACGGCTCTTCAACAATATCAGGGCTTTGGTACCACGACGATGTGGGTTTCGTAAAATGTCGGAAATCTTCAGTCGGCACAGAAAAATGGGGCGTTGGCCCTAGATTCTGAGGGTTCATTGTAGGAGCTGTATACGCAACTGCTCACCAAATTCAGACCTGCGGAGCCTAAATTGTTTCAACCGTTTCATGGCTTCTTGATGGACAGAATGAACGCGAGAACCAGTAAAACTGCTGTCCGGTTAAATTTCCGCCATAGTCTGAATGTTCTTTCTCCTTGCAAACACTGAATAGTTAAAAATGGATGAAGGTTAACTGTAAAGTGCTGGAATTTATTCACTTCGTATGCAAGGACATTTTGAAAAGTACTTTCTCAGCCCATTCATGTACTGGATTTAAAATCGGTTTGAAAGGAAATAAATTGCCGGTTTCCACCAAACACCTAACTGGCGTTTTCGAAAAAGTTTGGTAACAATCGCTAGATTGTTGAAAACGATGGCTACCCAATCGGTTTCAAGCGTTTTTAACCTGATCTAACTGTCATACTCGTGATACCACGAATGATGATGAAGCTTTTAGCCGTAGGCCAGCTAGCATTCACGCATAGCTCGGGGCACCTAAGGAAACTCGAAATCCTTGATCTTCGGTTTTTGACGAATTCTTCAAAAATGATTCTCTCCTAAAGGATTATCTCCATAAAATGGTGGGTCAGAGGTCTGTTTAACTACAGGCGAAGCCGTTGTAATCATCCAAAGCTTTAAGTTATCAAATCGCAGACATTTTCAGTTGTGTGTGATTTGAATGCATCTACAGTTACGACAAGATGTATGCAAATGCCACCGATTTACTGTGGGCCGTCAGAAGAGCTCCAAAATATTTGGCTACATGTTTCGCCGACTGTCGTTTTTTGGCGCACACGCGGTATTTGAATATGGACTGCAAGCTTTTATACGTACGCCTCAGTAGCTGCACAAACTAGTCGACCGATTTGCGGTCTAGAGGCGGCAGGGTGAAACTTAACAGAATGACGACGTGCCCGATATCTTGTCAATCGTTTTTAGTGTCCTAATGAGTACTGGATGGGTGTATCGGAGTCTGACAACATTCCAAATACAAGCTACGCATCCTCAAATCAGAGGAGAATACCTGCCGGGGAAAGTTCTAAGGAGTGGGCAAACTTCGGGCACATTGCTTTAGGCGGTTAGATTGACGGTCCAAAGAACCTTAAGGCCTGACAGTGCGCCAAATCCGTCAGGAGGTCTCGACCACGACCCTCAATACTATTAAACCTACACATGTGGTGGCTTATCAAAGCATGTATCACCAGGGCCTGCTCGGAATATAAACAACTCATCACATCGCACATGTGCCACATTGCTGGTGAACATTATCACTATCGGCGCAGTTTTCATTTTCATCACCACAATATGTTTGATATTTGTGAGCCTTTGAATTCACTTTCAATGGTCTGTTGCCCTTCTGAGTGATCAATTTTTACTGTGGTATCTGATCCATCCTAGTCCTATCTGTTACCTTGGACGAGATGCCTTTACGTCGTACAACCAACTTGTAATTTCTCTTTACCTTGATATCTTGTCAGTAAAATGAATTGTTGCAAGAAGTCCACTGATTTAATAGCTGAGTAATTTTCTTAGTTCCTACGCTCTAGAATCACGAATTTGAGGGTACTAGTGGTCACAAGAATGTTCAAAAATAACTGTCCAGTAAGGAGATACTGGGTGCTCAATCACATGCCCACCTCCTTACGGATTTTAGATTCAATTCAGCAACAAATTATATCCCAGTTCTAAAAGAATTGAATGACAAGCTGACAGTTCAGTGCACACAACGGTCCGGAGAAAATCCTACGTGGACTAGTTACTCCACGTTCTTTGTCAGCCAGCGCAGCGTGGTGCAGTATCATGGATTGTATGAAACCACTGAGTCAGAACTATAGAAAAAACGGACGTATTCAAACATAACGACCATCCACAACGCTTCATCATAATAAAAATGTGCTTCAGGCTGCTCATCTGGTGGTTGTGGCGATAAAATAAAGCCTCGTTCGTATCGCCTATACTTTGAAGATAACTTACATATCTGTTGAACCATACAGCTTTCAGGTCCAGATAATGCAGTAATCAGCCTGCTCTTTGCTAACGAAATGCCTCACTTGAAACGGGAAAATAGCCCAGGATACATGCAAGACACCGTTGGTTTCTCTCCTAGCCTTTTACGGCAGAGTATTTTCGAAAAACGACCAAGCAAACTAAGGAGTGAAAACGAGAGAGTACATCTCACTAGAGTTACCAAATCCACCAAAGTGTTAGTATCTCAAATCGAATAGGTACACGCCACTTTCTCAAACCTGCCCCAACCGCCTCGCATCATCCACAGAGTTGGGCACTGACTGCTGAAATCTACCCAGAAGCATTGTCAGGCAACGGATTAAACAGCGGCAATGCGCTCGTGCAATTCAGCTTTGTGTCACGGGAGGCTCTATGTACATACGTTTGGTTTGTGACTTTTGGTTATGTGACTTTTGGTTTCTCCACATCTCCCATGGACGTCTCGCCGTCCTGTTAGCTTTTATCCCACAAATTTAAAATTCATCGGGTAGGTAAAGTGGGTGCAAATAGCTGCACTGGCTAAACTCGAGCTGCCGGAATTTAAGATGAGACGCTAGAACTTGACAGTAGCTGGGTCGTGTTTTCCGCCGGGTGCATGCCAGCTCATGTGAACACAAACCAATAATTCGGTGAACGTTCTTTTCCTCCAGTATATCAGTAGAATGGGGCTATTTTCCAAACTCCATCGACTGCCATCTGTTTCGCTCTATCTGTAGGTTATCAGGCATTGTCTAAAGTATGGAACAAACATTACTTACCTTGGGTAGCAGTTTGGTTGCGAATCGATTTGTGAGCTCATATGCTTGTAGAATACTTGGTAGCGTAGGATCTATTAGGATTCTTCCGTATAACATGCGATGCATGTGGAGCCTCGGGATTCAGTTGCAAATATATTCAATAAATTTTCATTGAACTTAAAGAGAACACACTCGGATACAATGCCGTTATCATATATACAGCCAGTGTATTTACTGGACATCAGAAGACTCATTGTGCACGAAAAAAGACGACGGTTTCGTACGTCAAGTAACGCCAAAATTATTTCTGAGGACTGTGACATTGCCATTATGTGATGTGAGTTATATACGGCTTCAGAAGCAGTCGTTGAAAGGTAGTGTTATACGCGAACTAATGCACTGAGATGGCAGTTGGAGCAAACTGAACCCACCAGGACTACAAAAAGCATCAGAATAGTCCGCAGAATTTTTTCGCATTGTTTTGAATTCCATTAATAACGGGATTAATGGAGTACTAGATAACAGTGTCTGCCTATGGTCGAGACTCTGAGTTCTTAGCTGAACTACGATAAGTCGCCTACTCTCAGAATGACTTTGCGTTTTCTCGATGATTGGTGGTTCGAGAACGCGCGATAGAGTAGATGTACAATCGGATAGTATATCGCTGTGTTTCTGCTCGGTACTGATTTTATGCGAACCGATTTTCAACGGTTGTGACCGCTTATTTCAACAGTTCAGCCAACCTAAGGGAGGTTGCGTGGATTCTATCGTGCCTGTTTTGAGGACTTAGTCATTAAGTGAACCACCCGCTGATCAATTAGGACTCGTTTTGTTTCGCCTCGTTGCGTGTTTACTGATGCAGTCCTGTACTGACCAAAGATATACCCGGTGATGAACAAATAAAAGAGATCCAACCAACAGCGCACTGAAGATGTCTCTTCGAATGGTGACGAAACGTTTGCAAATCAATTGCGAAGCTCGGCGAACAGATCAACAGCCACCTGATCAATTACCAACAGATCCAAGATCCTCATTTCTTAAAGGTCTGGCCTCACCACCGCACCACAGTATAGGACGCTGTACTATCCTGGAGAACCACTAACGGACCGTTTCCACATAACCACTGTCTGTGTACGCACCTGTCGCCTTTAGAATTCATGTGACAAGTTCATCTATCTCACTATCGACAGTGCTAATACAGCTTACCAAATGGGAATGGGAGTGCATAGGATTAAAGCTACTCTTCTTTTGGACGCCGTTTTTCGCTATTGTTTCGCTATTGTTTGCAACGCCATATATCATCGAGGTCAGCAAATCATGTTGCTGTCAGAAATCCATACCAACGGACTACGATGGTCCACGTAGATCCCTCACACGCCGGATGATCACTAACCTGTCGAATGAAGGAGAACTCTGGGTGGAGGCCCAGCAGAGAGTGAGGGCTTTTGTCACAAGCAATAGGCGCACCTTGTTTCAGCTTATCCGATCAACTGGCCAAAAGAAGACGGGTTTTAGTGAAATAATTCCAAACAGATGGAACGTTAGTTCATGAGAACTGTGTGCGCGAACTGTTATCATGTACGGGTATACGACAAGCTTTTTCCTGAGTTTACCATCTCCAGTAATGTAAGATAAGACTGTCTTCTGACACTAGTGCTGCCTAGTTTAGTTAATGACGTACTATCTGGAACTTCTCTGCATGTCTCTAAAATCTCACGAATGCTTTGCAACGTTCGCACATAGTTTGAGAAATCGGACGACTTTGTTTCTCTTGGTTCAGCTCTTTCAAAGACGCAAGTCCTTTTAAGCAACTTAAACAGTTTTGCTGCACCGTTTGGTATGAGTTTCACGCCTGCGAAATGTGACGTGTGACTACAAGACTGATTGGAATCAAACTCAAATCTCACGCTTTCAGATTAGCCAACCGATGTGGTGGGTAAATTTTTTTATCTGGTCGGTTGCATAATTTCCGGTGGACTAGCTGAAGACGAGATTACCTCTCGAATCGGGAGAACCGGGAGAGTTTTTGCTAACCTGTGACCGGTGTGGTGTGAGTTTGTCCGTCTAAGGCACAGTATGACCTTCTTTATGGATAAGAAATGTGACCTCTACGTGCAGAGGACATAGGAAATCTGTAGATGTTTGACCATCGGAAGCATTCATCCGGTCTGATGGGAATGTCGAAATAACAGCTGTCCTATAAATAAAAGCTGTCGTATTCAGTGCTTAGCTGTCTGGTTTTCCGTTCCTTGGGAACAATATACATTACAATACAGTATACAATATATGATACAACTGATCATGTCATCGCCTCCAATGCCTTGCTATGTATCTCACTTTGCCTCGTTCTTCCGTGACCAAAACTAGAACAGCTTGAACAGCCGCACCCCTGGTACATGGCGTAGAGGTGATAAACGGACTGATTCACGACCTACGTAGTCTCAATTGACGTCGTGCCAAAGTCCTCTTTCCATTCAGTTTGTTTCTAATCTGTGTATGGTTTCTTTGAACTGCGCGTGTTTCTTTTCAGCCACTATGGGCTTACTAACATCTGGTACTCCTCTGCACTGGAATGAGACAAAGAAGCACGCTCGATACATACAAACGGAAGGCATCAAACAATTCATTTACCTCTATCGGACTCTCAATTCAAGAAGGAAGCACACGTTAAAATGGGGAGACGAGATTGAGTACACATTGTTGCGCGAAGACCCTAAAACCGGCTGCGTCCAACTTTACCTCACGGCCTCTGATCTCCTACAGCGTCTCCCATCACCGGAGCTTAATGGAAGGTAGGTTCTCCTTTGGGGTATTCATTAAACGACTGGTGGATTCTCGAGACCCACGATTGATTTGATAAATCTGCGGATGGTTTCGTACAGGACTATAGATGATTTCATAGACATAATAAACACCCTGAATATTTGACTTGTTTGATGACAGCTGAGGTTTGACCATCCATCTACCTTCGAACCAAATGCAGTTTATCGTCCTGGGGTTTTCTATAGATGCTAGTTTCACCGCGTTGAATTCGAAACCGGACACACGTACCTGCACAACCGCATTGTGTGAATATATATATATATATATATATATATATATATATA